GGGAGAGCACAGAGAGATAGAGGGATATCCTCATCGCACACAAGGCCGTGACACAATACAGACAGATGATAGAGTGTGCAGCCGATGTTGAAGAAAACATCATCCAGAAAAAAAAAAAAAAAAAAAAGGTGGGGGTGGGGGGCATGACAGAAATTAGAAGAGGATTTCTGTGTTTGAGTTTGTCTGCCTCGCTGCCCCCTTTCAGCCTCCCATTGAAATTCTGGGCAGATACAAACCCCTAGGCTTTTGACACACTTTTGAAAACACCACACCCCCTCTTTCTTTCCAGTGAGTCTCCAGTGTCTAGCCTGACTCACTATCAAGAGAGTTAGTGAGCGCGCTAGAGTGAGATGGAGAAAAAGGGGGTGACAGCAGCTATAGATCGTGTTTTTGTATTAGCAACTTCCAAATTAAATTAAGTCATTCTCGAAGACAGCACATGTTTGTGGTTTGTGTGTGGTTGTGCGCGTGCATGTAGCTTACAAATTCGACTGTTTAGAGACTTGACACTGTGGATTTATGAACTCACATGTGAATTATCTAAAATGCACTAAAAAACAAGAGATGAAAATCCGAAACTACTTTATCATGCTGAGGACATCTGATGACCTGAAAAGACTATCAGCTGAGACTCTATGGCTGATAAATATAACCAGAGCAATTAGAAATATCGAAAAGGAAATGAGGTTTTATCCAGATGAGAATTTTTCCAAAAGTAGCCGATAGCTAGTGTCACCAAAAAAAAACCAAGGGATGCCAATAGAGGGAAAAGTTGGGAAAGAAGTTAAGAAGTAATGTAAAGTAAAAGGGTCAAAACTATCCTGCTACTATTGCAACGTGACCGAGAAGAGTTAGGGCCTCACAACAGCACCCATGTACATCTTTTCAAAGTGGTCGCAAACCTACATACATTAAAAGTCCTGTTAACGCCAACAGGTACTATAACTAATGATTCCACCTTTCAATATTCAATATTCACACCTTCCTCAATTATTCTGAGTGTAACCTCACAGTCTGCACTCTTCCTCTCCAATCCCCCCTCCCCAAATCCCTTCTAAACCCCATGGCACGCACCCTCCACCTCCACCATCTCAGTCTCAGGATGCAGAGCATTGACAGGGCCAGAAGGTAATGATACAGCTGCCATGATGCAACAAGCAGACCTGTCGACTGTCAGGAATTGAAATCATGAAGGAATAAGCTGTCATTAAGAGGCCCTCTCCCAGTAGTGGAGCTGTCAGACGGCTGCCTTCTGCCTACTCTCTCTCTATACTCCCGTCTCTCCTCTGCCAGTCCCACCCCATTTGCAGTCACTCCCTCGTCCTCCTCTCATTTCTCTCTTCCTGCATCAATCCTTTCTGTACTCCTCTCCTTCTTTCTTCTTCTGTCCTCTTCCAACCAATCATAGTCCGTCTCCTTCTCTGCACACCCAACACCCCCACTTCCCATCTAAGATTCCTCTTTTCCACCTCTTTCCACCACTCTCAGGTTGTTTCTGGAGAAACCTCCTCTCACCTGTCATTTTACCTCTTGGCTATGGGAATAGCACCACTTCCATGTGCACACACACACATGCACATAAAGACAACATGCATGAGGCCTGCACACACAGCACAAAAATTTCCCTTAACCCAGCGTTACTCTGCGTTGTGCCACATGCCGCTAGCATATCCTCAGCCTGATGTGATGTGTTTCTGTCTGTCTGTGTGTGTGTGTACATGTGTATGTGTACATACTTCAGGCTTGTCTTTAACATATGCCTTTTTGCCAGCTTATTAAGGTGTCATCATCATATAGCGGCATGACAAAGATATAGGCTGGATATGAGACGTAGAGACAGGTGACGTAAATGGCGTGACTGGTGTGTAGGAGACAGCCTGCCCTGAGATTCACCCTTGAATGTGATTGTTTGCGTGTGCGTGTATGTGTGTTATGTGAAAGGCCTGATTAACTATAGCGCAATCAGCTATTTTTCATACAATCGCGTGATTGGCAGTGGTGATCCCATTGGAAGAGAGGAAAGGCTGACTCCAGCTTCCAAGGAACATGGCTAAGAATTTCAGAGTGGTGCAGGTGCAAGCTTATACACACTATTGTGCATGTGTGTATAATTGTGCACTGCATTGCACACACACACACACACATTACTGCAGTACTGAGTCAAATTAACTGCTTTGTCTCTATGTGTGTATCTGTGTGCATGTACTTGTGTGTTTGGCAAAGCCACAGCTTCTCCACATTTCCACTCCAGGTGACCCTTTGCTGCACTCTTTGAACTTCCAATCAGTTTCCCATGAGTAACATCGCATGAGCTGCACTCAGGGCAACAGACTGTTGCCACAAAACATTTGGGGGAAAATGGAGCCTAATCTAAACATAATTAAAAAGTATGCCAAAAATGTCAGAATCTGACCCAAAACCACACTTGACAAGGTCAGTAAAGCAAAAATATTGAGTAGTTATGGCACAAGAGTTGCTCTTATGCAGCCACACGGAGTTAGACTGCTCTAATGAACAATTTATAAATACGTTTAAAGTATATGATAAAAGTTTGGTTTTAGTCATTCCCTTAATGTCCAAGAATGACTTTGGACAAGTTCCTTTCATTGTGGTTAGATGTAGATAATATGTGCAGGTGGAGAGAATAACCACAGAAAATTTGGATGCAAATAAATTTAATAAAGAATTCAGAATATGGTTAGATTTACAACATCCACACATGTCATCAACAGTGGCAAAGATAGTTCTTTTGTCCTGGATAGATTAAGGCTCCTTGTCAAGTTTCAGATCTCACCTCGTCATCACCATTTCTGCTTCACCTTCCTTCCCATGATAACATGCTGGGAATCAGATAGCCACTTGGCTGACCAATCAGGAATAGACTTAAGAGATACATGAAAATGAAAAATAATGCATTACTCACATAATACATCTATGAATGTTTGTCTTTGTGCTGTGTAACTGATGAAAGGCTGTAGCCTTAAAGAGCATGATGGGATTCGTCTGTCAGAGTGATGAATTAGTAGCTTGTACAAGTATATGAGTTAATCAGATGAGATATCTGAGGGAAAATGAGTAAAGGAGGAAACTTTGTCTTTAGAAATATGGATGTCATTGCATATTGGTGAATAAATGCAGGGTTGTGATTCAATTTTTCAGTTTTCACAATTTTATAATGTTGACTATTGAGTTTACAGTTTCTCCCTCTCTGCATAGGGAGAACAAATTTTCATTTTCAAGTCATTTCATGATGTTTTTTTTGCATTCTCTTGACTATACATTTCCACGCACACAAAAAAATTACACAAAATATAAGCTACAGTTTAAAACAACATAATATACACGCCGTAATCAAAAAAGGAGCAGGGAGAAAATAAATTTGAAACTGCTTGTCCCTATTCGTTAGTTAATTAGTTAGGTTGAGACAAAAATCAGCATAAACTATATATATTTTCAGATGGTATATTACTTGTAACTCCTGTAGATGTGCTTTAAGAGACATCAAGACAAATTTCATGGTATGACATAATAAACCACAGACACGTCCGTAATAGATGCAGACAGCATATATTGACTGTAAATGTGTGTTGCTGTCTTTGCAGTGCACACACTGAGTACAAGGCCTGTGTGTGTGGTAAATGCCTGGATGATGATTTGTCAGGGTGCAAGAACACGATTTCTTGTTTACTATGATGAATGAGCAACACTCGCACTACATACACCATGTTCTCTATATCTAGCTGTCACTTTGGCTCTCTTCAGCACAACCCTGCCTTCTCCAACTGTAAGACCAGCCAGAGTAACTGTATAAGACAGTTTTAGGGTACCTGAATCATCAGTTAGCACACACGGACCTCTCCCATTGTTGTACACAAAAGGGCTATACACAGTAGGTAAAGTCTTCATGGTATTCACACGGACAAAACGAAGGGATGAGGGGGAGAGGGAGAGCAGAATCTCCCATAAGTCAATTTGAACAGCAGGCCAATGAAATTACACAGGTAGTCGTGGCCAGGCTGACAAATGAGCACAGAGATGGGGATGAAAATAATAAGACAGGCAGAGCCACCTTTTGCTTGCTGACACATAGATGTATACAATTGTTGGTGATCATATGGTACGGAAAGAAAAACTAATCTATATTTTACATTACATTATCTCCTCCTCTCTCTCAGCTCAGTCACCCGTGAACACATAAGACTACACAAGAATCATGGCTCATAAGAAGGCATAAATGTTTTCTTGTACAATAATGACCAGGCTGAGGAATATGCTTCATTTCACTAACAAGACAATATAAGCTTTCATTCTGGGTTGAGGACTGTTCGGTAATAGTATCATTCGAGAGCACGAGTTTATGTTTGCACCTGTGAACGAATGTCTGCTTCTTATTTTTTCCTTGGTGATTATATGATACTGTAGAATGTTGAAATTGTTCAGCATCACATAATTTCTCTTATGACCCCAGGGCAAAATTTTCTTTCCGCTCCACACTTGTGTAAATCGTACAATGAAGTTAAACTGAACTGAGTCGATACAGTAGAGTAGAGTCTAAGGTATTAAAGCGCACAGCAGCAAAAATTACCCACAATCACATTCAAACCCAAAGTGGAATACATGAAAAACAAAATACCATGACACTCTGCTTCTGATTGTGCCACAACTGCTTCCACAGCCCCAATATATAAGCCTGCCTTCCAAATAAACTGTGTGTGTTGTCACACTTGTCACACCAATATCCCATTAGGCTAGCCACGGTGGCTGTGGTGGTTTTACTGTGGTGGTGACTTTTTCATTCAGAGACTCACAAACCCTACAAAGTAATCTCACAGTTCCTATTTTTCAAAAAGTGAACAATAATAAGAAGAAAACAAAACAGACAATATGCATATAAAGCAGATAGTGAATCAAGACAACGTAACATCTTGGATCAAAGATCAGAAAATCAGTTCAACATCCAACAAAATGAAACTGCTTTTGTTGTGTCCCCTACCTCCATGGCTTTGTTAATGAAGGGAATCTGTGTCCCTGAGTCCAGGTCCTGATTGATGATTAGTCTACGGGCCCACTGACCGGCACGCACCACGCCACTACCCTGGATCAGCACCAGCAGCTTGGATGGGTTGGACAAGGCATCTGGGCTCAGGTAGATAAAACTGGTGGGTTCATCTTCTGTAGCATCGACCTGAACATTCAGGAAACCACAGATTATCATGTGTTACTAATAATGAACTTATTCAAGATATTTTTTTAATGCAACAGCTGCAAATGCACAAGATGTTTGTGACTTTATTATTTGATCTTTGATTTCTGTTGTTTCTAAAAAAAAATCCCCTAATAATATTTATGAAAGCAATGCTAGGAATTCCCTAATGTAATTTGCATGAGCTGTGGAGAAACCAACTCCTCCTCCATGGACTCCTCTGTGGATATGTATCAGTACACTAACCATCAATAATCAGAAAACAGTCATTGTGTCATTAAACCGGGGACAGAAAGAGGCTAAGTGAGTGAATGAGTATTTGTGTGTGTGCATGCGCTCCATCCACATCCCATGCTTCTTTGCATCCCTCCCAAGTATGCCTGGAAGAATCTCTAAGGAGACAAACACTGTCCATAAAAGCCATGGGTGGCAGCTGCAAGAACTTAATCCAAACAGACAAAGAGAGCCAAGTGGGGGAGAAAATCTTACCCTTTATTCTCTTGTGCTCCCTCATTCCCTCTCCCTATACTTGGCTGTGGTTAATCTTCTTAAAATCTGCGGTCACAAGTTCAATGCCACGCAGGTGGACGGACCCACCACTAACACACAAACACACACACACCAAATACATGCAGGCGGGTGGGCAGCAGAAAAGCCTAACAGAGCAATTTTCCAGAGGAATAATGAGATAAATAGGCCAGGCAGATAAACCAGTAAAAGTGTATGGGGGCTAATGAAAGGCGCTGACTCTAGCTAGGTGATTTATGGACACTGTTAGTGCTGGAGCTAACTCTGGCATGCTTCTAAACACCAGCGCTGCCGAACATCCCTATAAACGCAGTCTGAAAAATGATCACTACTTTTATAAACAGAAAAAGAGCAGGGATGGAGAGGTAAAGGGGGGCAAAAAGAGAGAAACATGCTCCCAACAACAAATAAAAGGGATCAAGTGTGTGCTCTGAGCCTGGATGAGCTGGGCAAAGAATAACTCCACGATGGCAGAGTAGAAAGTCCCCTTCAGCGCAATTGAATGCAAAACAGATTAAGCATCAACATGCTGTGCCTCTGTGCCTTTGAAATGACACGTCACAATACAGTTAATTTGTTGAGGAGACACTTTTGTACAAAGGATGTGGGCAGAGGAGGGGGGGAAAGAAAGACAGGGAGTAAGAGAGGAACTGAGTGAGATAGAAAAAGAAAGACAAAGACTGATAGAGAATTGGGGGAGCTGACTCCTCACAATCCCCTTTTCTTTATTTTATTTTTTTTTAAACACAGGACACTCAATATCATAATCAGACTCTGAAGCCTAAGCATTTACGTCAATTTTCATATTTAATACTCTCTTTAATCTTCAAGGGCATAAATCAAAGAGGAAAATGCCTCTATTCACTATGGGTACTTACTGGCAGGATTGCTTTAGTCATGTTGCACTTTTTCTCCAACAGCTCATAAACATACTGAGTGATGATCTGGAGAGGAAAGAAAAAGACATAGGACACACACACACACATAGTCAGACATTACAATGATAATACACTCTAATGCAATTAGTATTTTTATATTGCTGTTGATACAAATCCATCCAACAAAAGCCAACTAAACTCTGTGTGCATGTGTGAACGAGCAATAGCATCCAGTGTCATGCTTACAAACAGAATAAAAAATACTACTCAAAACCCTCATTTGCCCTCTGGTATGTATGTGTGCATGTGTGTGCACATGAGCTACTTGAAAGGGTCTGGATCGTGCTATGTGCGCTGCGTGCGTATGTGTGTGTGAATCACAGTGCAGTGAGAGTGTTGAGGTTGTAAGTGCCAGGAGAGGAAATCTCCTGTACAAGCGAAGGGCTGATGTAAGTTATGTTTATCCCCGCAGCCACAGCACTAAAGAACCTTGTATACCAAGTCATTCCAACCCAGGGCCAAGCCTTTCATGGTTCAGTGACATTAACAACGTTCTTTTCCATTTTCCTTATTTTTTCTTTCCTTCTTTTCTTCTCCCCAACATCCTGTTCAGCTGAGAAGAGAGAGAAGCACTTTGTGGAACAGATTTCAGTTTTTGATCAGGTATTAGAGAGAGAAAGACACAGGAGCTAAGAGTGATAACAGATGACAGGGCACACGATTGTAGGCAGTAAGCTGTTCTGATGCTTCCTCGACACATGCTATGACAAACCCTGTGTCCTGTACATGTCACAATGATATCATGTTCGGTGGATGGACCACAGGGACAGCTGAGCAACATGCTGTTATGCTTTGCTGTGAAGTCTCACTTTGGTTAGCTTTTGAAGCATCAGCCCTACTAAATCAGGAAACCAAAGGCCAGTGGTGGCGCCACAGCTACAAAGCGTATCCGAACTCCAGTCACGCTCAACTGACTGACCCCAAACACAAACAAGGATCAACCAGAGACTGTCATGTCTCCCAGCACAGAGTGGGATGATGCTCAAATGTCATTACTGCATGCAAAGAGAGGGACTGTAGTGACTTTTAATAGTAACGGTTCAAAGACGTGCACGTTAAATACAAAAGATATTGGTCATTTCTGGCTATTAACAATTCCTAAAATGTAACACTGTAAAAACTGGCATTCACAAGCTGCTATTGTGTTTTTAGAGCCAATCAGAAGTAATATTGCTCTGTGTAGTATGTAGAACAGTTCTTTAAAGAAGTGAAAAAATCTCTGCCCTCCCTCCTGCAATGTCTAGTGTAAGAGTGCATTGGATTAGAGCCAAAAAGTTAAAAAACTAATAGGATTCTTTTGGACCATGATCTGCTTAGCTTTTGTAACTTTTGGCACAGACAAAATAAAATATATTCTTTAGACTATACTTTGAAATGTCAACCATGGGACAATGAAATTATGCATATCCCTAAATTGCATGTTCCAAACTAGACACACTTTTGAAATGGCAAGGCCAACTTTAAGTACTCAGAATGGAAAAAAAAAAAAAAAGATTGGCTTTTACCTTAAAGTCAAACATAAATTCTCATGATAATCATAATACCACAGGACTATACTCTTTTATGCCCAAAATAAACTCAAAGCTAACTTGATTTAATGCTTAAAAGAACAACATACAAGAAAAGCATTACATATCAGACACATATTACCCTTATGACAGCCAATCAAAGGCCAGCGGACAAACCAAATGAAATGATCGATTTTACCATTTGACCCTGTGGGGAGGGGGGGCTAGAGGAGCTGAAACAACCCCATCTCGCCCCCACCAAACCTCCAACAGCTAATTCACTAAAATGTCAGCTGCTCTGATGAAGACTAAAATGATTCCAGGCCTCAGTATGCTAGTGTTTAATGACATCAATAAGCTTCACAGGAAATTTCATTTGCACTATGTTATTTGTTCTGTGCCTCAGGTGGCTCAAAAACCATCCGATATAGAATAAGAACAGAGACTAATGGGGAATCAGAATAAGGGAAAAACGGGGGGGAAAATGTGAGAGTTTTTCTGTGTGAATATATTTTCACTGCTAAAAAAAAAATAATGTAAATTCTAAATACAAGAATCTAATATCCGGTCTTGTATATAGGCTGTTAGGTAATCACATCTGTATGCTTTAGTTCATAATGTAAAGAATAAGAGCTGAGGAACAACAGCACCAGCATTCTACTAGACCTACATACAAATTGTTTTTTAGCGACAATGGGATAGACTCGAAGCATACATGAACACACAAACACGCACACACACAGGCAACCTCCTTCTGTCGGCCTCTGAGGACTATGTCTCAGCAGCTGATCAGTACAATAAGAAAGGCCTCTTTGTCACCTAATTACCAATGTGTTATTAGTGCTTTAATGAAATGCCTGCAGGAAGCAACGCTGAGTGTCTGCATTGTCGACGTCGGACGATAGGATGAGCATGAGGAGCGGATTTGGCAAATAATATTAAGGCACACAAAGAGAAGGGAAGGGAGGGGATGAGAGAGAGACAGAGAGATGAAGCAGGGGTGGGTGAATTGGTGGCAACCTAAATCAGTACAAATCAATAGCTTTCCCTACCATAAATATGCTCACAATGTCCCTTTAATCCATAATAAATATCTAATATCCGCATGACAAAACATGGGTGCATCATTATTTTAAATGTAAACTTAGATCTCTCTCAATCTGTCATTAAAAAATGTGGGCTATAGTAAAGTAAATAAAGACACAGTTTTTCCAGCAGAGACAAGTTTGTCTCTTTAGAAACAGAGCGGCAAACGCTGATGATGTATAAAACAGCAAATTTTCTGAGAGTGAACTTGGGACAGTCTGATATAGACCTTTTGCAGCTGAGGTCATCTCCGTGTCTGCGGTTTGTTTGTGTAGAGGAAGCATTGTGGCGATGAACCAAGAAGAGGCGGATCAGGGAGGAAGGAAGGGACTTAGGAGAAGGCTCAGTGGGAGGAAAGAAAGAAGACAAGAAGGGAGAGATGGCGAAGTAATCCCCAGGAGACAGGGTCTCGTGCCAGCTCCCACTGCGGTGAACAACTGAAGGAAGTAGCGATGGAAGAGGAGAAGGAGGGGGAGAGACAACAGTACAGTGCGTGGCCTTGATAAGAGGCCTTTGAGTGGGTGGGCTGTGACATCAACTCCTTGCAAACCGCTGGTCATCCCCATAACAGTCTCTTCATCACTCATACACACACCAGGCCAAGGTCTTAATGAATGCCATTGCAGCTGCAAGTAGATACGCTGTAAAACTCCTCACTACAGCTAGAAAGACCTCCCACAATATGTGTGCACGTGCGTCAGTTTGTGTATGTGTGTGTGTAGTGTGTGTGCGTGTGTCTGCTTGCATGTGTGTTCTCTCTTCTCCCACTGATTACAACAGTCATGCCTGGTTTGGCTGACCGCACCTGAGGCAATAAGGAGATGATCCTTCCCAGCACTCACAAAACAAATGTGGGGAGGAAAAGAACCAAGACAGGAAGAGATGAACAGATCAAGAGGCAGGAAAGATGAGGAGATGAGGAACAGGAGTAAGGGAATGAGAGAGAAGAGCAAAGACAGAGAGGAAAGAAGGACAAAAGTTAGAGGATGATAAGAGGGATGGTCAAGGTTGAGACGGTCAAGGGCAAATGGAAAAACTGAGATAATAACAAGGAGAGAACAACCCAATCCAAAACCAGCCCCCAAGAGACAATCATGATGTATGATTTATGTCAATTAAGTTCCATTAGCTGAGATTAATGTATCATCAATTTAGAAATGAAAATAAAGATGAAAATGAAAAATGACAAATGACATGGACAAGTAGGTGAAGGGGTCATCAAGTTGGCCACCAAGGCAGCATAAGTTGCTTGAAGGTGGCCGTGGATCAGGAGAGGAGACCCGTGGGTGGTGTAGCACTGCCTGGACACAAGCCAGGGTTTGATCAACTCCATCTGGCTCGCCTGGGTGCGGGTGTGTAATGTTGAAAGACCTGAAACACCTGATGACTCCAGGACACATCATCTGATGGTGTGTCCTGGTGCATAAAGATGATGTATTTAAAAAAATAAATCATGTAAAGTCATCGTTACTGAGCCACTTTAAGGCCTTGTGACCCCGTCAGTTTAAATAATGTACTTGGAGACATTTCTAACACTTACTAGGGCCAATGAAGCCACAGTGGTTTATCTGAAAAACTATCTCTGAGTGGAAGCCATGCGCACAAATGTACTAAAGACAGCAACACATACTGTGTACAGGCACACACCTCTTGTCTCTCTAGTCCAGAGCCCTCTCCAAAAGCCACTTAGCCATAGAAACCAGAGAGCAAGAAGAGGCATCAAAGCTGTTTATATAATGAAACTGAAAGAGCTGCTCCGTGCCGTATCACTGACTGCACCCAGGAAAGCTTTCCTTCTTCTCCAGAGAATAGAGGAAAGGAAGAAAAAGAAAAAAAGAAGAAAATCCCCCCGAACAATGCAGCACAACAACAGCGGCAACAACAGCAAAGCATACTCAGAAAGAGAGAGACTGTGAAAATGAGAGAGAGCGTGAGGCAATAGAAAGGTTGTTTATTTTAAGTCAGCCTCGTGTACCAACAGAAAATGTATTAAAATAGGCCCTATTGTTGTGAATTTGTGATCTGTCAGTCCGCGTGGGAAACAAAGAGAGAGAGAGAGACTGCCGTAATTCCCATGAGGTCGCTGTCAGAGGAGAGAGGGCTCTCCAGGGGAAGAGAAAGTTCTCAGACACAGACTGATAGACAGACTGTTTACACTTAGCGTGGATATCCCTCTCTCACTCCCTCTCTGCCCTCCCTGCACTACTCATCCTAATGGCATCATAATGACCTCCTCAGGTGTTAACTGAGAAGCCAGCAGAGGGCTAATTCAAAGTAAAGTATTGTATGCCACCGTGGGTGTCAGCAGTAGCGACAGATGTCTGTGCTGTAACTACCAGCCCTCCTGTCTTTTCTCTATCACCCCCCTCCGCCCCCCATCCCCTGTCCAATTCCCTTTTCTTTCATCAACTG